AACTCGAATATATACAGCCTGAATCGAGAGGTAGGCCATGACGGCTATTGTACGTGGCAACTCACAGACCGTATCGTCTTTATCCATCGCCGTGAGACCACGAACCCGAGACCGGCACTACCTTCGTCAACCCATTCAAATTGGTGTACGCGTAAGCTTACATTTTGACTCATGACCTGCGTGCGTTAGTATTACTTGTGATAGTATCGTTCTTGTTGCCCCCCCCCCCCCTCTCCTGTTATAATTCCCACTCCCCATTACAACTTGCCGGGGCAAAAACGCTCCCAATTTCCCGGATACCATCGGCGAAAAAATGGACATTGTTAGAGTTGCGGGCTTATGTCGTCAAAAGACGTGCGGCTGCGAGGGGAGAGCCAGGTAAAGTGCAGCCTAGAGGGCCGGGAGCGCCGGAGTTGGGGTGCGCGTGGAGCTCGGAGGTTGGTATGTCGTCGTGAGTGCAACACAGTTATTACGTTGGTACCGGAGGCTTCTATCGCACATCTTTGCGAGCTTCGTGGTAGCAAGATTGCGAAACGAATACAAATTACAATAGACCATCACAGTAAGACCAAACTTAAAGCTAAGCATTTGTCTGTACACGCCAACGCTTGCAACATGAGCTTGCGTAGAGCCTATGTCGACACGCTGACGTTTTGCTGTTTGAACAAGTTGAGTCAAAATTTGTCTTAACAAGGTATCTTCAATCACGATAGCTTTTATCTGGTGACAGAGTTAATACAAGCTATGCTATATTGCTATATCAGTGGTAACGCCACAGATGAGTGATGACGCAGTTATTTTCAACGCCCTTCAGATCAGTGCTTTTCGCATATTTCTCAGCCAAGATTCACTTAACGCACTGAGCAGTATGAAATACCAAACACCTAGACGGATTAGTAGTCGTAGGAAACGTAGCTGGCAACATCGCCTTGCGCCAAATATGATCAGTCCGCTATGCGGCGTTTTACAGCGCAGTGCCATTTTAGATGCATGATTTCAAGATTTGACATGTCCAATGAACTAGGATGATCTGATTAAGATTAAAGTTTCGCAAGAAAAGAAACGCGAGCAACTGAAACCTTTCGCCGCCTTTACGAGTCCCACGGCCTTCACGGAGAGATGAAGGGTACAGGTACTTGCCACGCCCAGATGCATTGTGCGCACGAGCAGGTACCCAGCCAGGTCGGGGACTGATTAGCCAGCTTCGTGTAAATATAATTAATGCTTATGAACACTCAAGACCAACTAGTTACTTGCACCACAATCATTATCGCAGCAATATCAGGAATAATGCATCCGAAAACAAAAACTCATCTTCCAGCTATCTGACAACGTCATGATGCCATGTATTCTAACCCACATATACATAATTTACAAATGCCATGAGATCCATGCTTTATCTATTTCATGGTGCCGCAACACTCCCTGATTCAACATATCCATCAGTGACCCGATAATGTAGCTGCAGCGCATATATCGTCCTTTAACTGGTAGTCTTCGCGAGCCTTTCACACCTGACTGGCTCCCAGGTACGCGCAAGCTGCCCACCGGACAGTCGCGAGGCAGCATTAACTTCCTCCAAGAAAAATGTCTAGAATTCGAGCGCACTTTTTCTGAAATCCGACCGGGAAAGTTTAACTAGTTTACGAACAATTACAAAGCTAATTGGCATATAACATCGATGAAAAGTCGCACAAATACCTATTTACATCAACATCACACATCAAAACAGCCATTTCTCCCTACGAAATCTCAGATCACGTACAACAGAAGCGCCAACAGAGAGCAGGGAATAGGCCGGACAAACAAGGCGATCGGAGAAATGTGATCATTATAGGAAAGGGTATTTGCTGGTCACGCCACTGAACAAATCCTTAAAAGGCACTGTTTAGGATTTTTCGCGGCTCCCGTTCCTCTGCAGGCGTGCGTTGGCAGCTTCGCCTGTTGATTGTGTAGGTGACCACAAGCCCTTG